TCCAATTCTCACTCAGAACCCCGCCGAAGGGGCAGTGTGCTAACCTGAGCTTCAGGGAAGCCAACCCCAAATGAAGTCGAACCTACAAGCCTTGTTTAAAATGAGCCAGAAAAACCAGGCAAAAGCTGTTTGGGCAGCCCCCCCTAGCGCCCTCATCTTCCTCCTGCCAATCAGGGAGCTTCACCCCCAGGCGTGTCCGCACAGTGTGGGTGCTGAGGACAGTGAGGCAAGGACACAGGACAGCGTGCAGGTCTCGCCTGGGTCTGGCTCGCCCACACAGAATGGCTCTCGTTCAGGACAGATGCCGCCAGAATTAGGGAGCCACACATAGCAGGCTGAGAAGCCCCCCAGAACCCTGCAAGGCACCCAGCAGCCTCCCTCTCCGACGGGAAACAGGGAAGTCAGGCGCTCCCGCCATCCTAGCTTCACCCCTTCAATCCCAACTCACCCGGGTGATCGAAGTTGAACTGGCCCTTCAGGGCCTTGGCCTTCTGCTCGGAGGTGAGGACACGGTAGAAGCTGTCCTGGCTCAGGATGACCACCTGCTTGTGGTGGTGGTCCACCTCGTTCTGCCCCAGCAGCTGCACGATCTTCGCACAGACGGAGGACTGGAGGGGAGAGGAGTACGGAGTGAGGGGTGCACGTCCTCTGCAGGCAGGGCTTTGGGAGGAAGTCTGGGCTCCAGTCGCAGCGCGGGGGTGGGAGGGGGCGCGGTCGTTCCTGCCTCCCCTCCACATGGCCTTTCCCAAAGCCAACGCAAGTGTCCACCAGTCCTCCCCCCCACCCCACCCCCGCCGGTGCTCTGATGCAGACACAAAGCGGGCAGCCGAGTGGAAAGCAAGCCCAGGGGTGGCGTGCTGGTGGGCCAGACGCTCCCGGTCATGGAGGGGCTGATGGGCGCCCGGGGGCCATCGCTCAGCCCCACCCCCATCTCTATAGCAACAGAATCCGCACCCACAGCACAGCCAAGGCTGTGGCTGTGACCCCGCCTCTGTGGTCCCCTCTGCTCTAGTCCAAGCCCCCTTCACCCTCACAGTGAGCCCAGGCCCGTGGAGCCAAGTGACCTGGGACTGGAGCATCACCAACACCCGCAGCAACCTGGGGGAAGCCAATCCCAAGCGAAGTCGAACCTACAGGCGTTGTTTAAAATGGGCCAGAAGCCCTGACCGGTTTGGCTCAGTGGATAGAGCCTCGGCCTGCAGACTGAAGGGTCCCAGGTTCGATTCCGGTCAAGGGCATGTACCTTGGTTGCAGGCACATCCTCAGTAGGGGGTGTGCAGGAGGCAGCTGATCAATGTTTCTCTCTCATCTATGTTTCTAACTCTCTATCCCTCTCCCTTCCTCTCTGTGGAGAATCAATAAAAAGATATTTTTAAACAAATAAAATGGGCCAGAAAAACATAGAGCCTGTTGACCTGGGGCAGCAGGCACCCAGACTCTTACACGCTTCTCTCCCCTGCTGTCACATTTGCATTTTCACAGAATAGGGGGGTAGGGGGCCGCCAGGCTCCACCCTGCCCCCCCCCATGCCTCCTTCACTTTCCCTCTGTGTCCTCCTCAAAGGGATGAAATGGCACTTCGAGGGTCCTGTTCCCTTAAGGAAAATAATTCATTAAGACTTGGTTTAAGCAGGCAATTACAAGCTTACAGGAAGCCAAAAAGCAGAGAGCAAGCAACTTCCAGGGTGGGCCAAGACTGCAAATAGTTACAGTCACAAGACAAACACCAGATGGTCCCACTTACGTGAGCTGTGGGAGCAGCCACAGCCACAGAGGGGAACGCAGAGCGAGAGCGCCCGGGCCCAGGGTGGGGTAAGGGAGCGATGTTTAATGGGTACGGTTTCAGTTTTACGCAGTCAAGTTCTAAGTTCTGGGGATCCATTGCTCAACAATGTGAATGTGCCTAACGCTACTGAAATGTACACTGAACGAGGGAAATTTATGTACTAGAGGCCCGGTGCACAAAAATTCGTGCACTGGGGGGGGGAAGGGGGAGATCCCTCAGCCCGGCCTGCGCCCTCGCACAGTCCAGGAGTCCTCAGGGGATGTCCTACTGACGGTTTAGGACCACCCTTCTGCAGCAGGCGACCGGATGGGCCGATCAGGGAACCGCCCACCCACCTCACCCTCTGCCTCTGCTGGTCACCACCGCCACCAGCCGCCCATCCCCCATCACCATTCCCTCCCTCTGCCCCCTGGCACACACCTTGGCTGTCCTGGCACCACCTGCTTGCCAGCCCGGCCCCCTGCTGACTGGTAGTTCAGCAGTTCAGTCGATTTGCATATTATGCTTTTATTATGTAGAACATTTTGCCACGATGAAAAAATAGTGATTATGATGAGTCCACATTGAACAGGCAGCTTCTTCCTTGTACCAAGGACTGGGCTCAACATTTTATAATGATCTTATTTACTTATTACCACCTTCTATGACGGAAAGGATTATTATACCCACTCTTCTGATGGTGAAGACGGAGGGGGAGAGAGGTTAAATGACTTGCCCAAGGCAAGTGGCGGAGGAGCCAGGGTTCCCACCCAAGCAGCCAGATCCATACCCAGCTCCCGGGTGACCAGCCCTTCCAGTGGGAGCCGGAGCTGTTCTGCATATCTCTGTGTGCACCGCAATGGTGTGCCCAGAATATATTCTGCCCCTGCCCCTCTGACATCCTATCGAAAGGGGGGAGTTGGGAGAAGGGGTGATGAGCCAGCTAGCACTATGGGCTGCGATCTGAATACAAAGTTAAGACCAGGTCGGTGTGAGGTCGTCTTTAGGAAAAGAACAATCATATGAAAGAATCCCCGAAGGTGATTTGCAGTTTCTTCATTTGTACGGCACTTGGAAGGTACGATCTCATTAAATTCCACCACAACAAGATATTATTAGACAATTTTCTCCTAGTGAGGAAACAAACTGAGTCAATCAAGTTCAATGATTTGCTTAAGGACCCACAGCTGAATCTCGAGCCGCAGGTCCAACTCCAAACACGCCTTCTTCCCACTGTTCCCGAACCGAAGCCCGATATTCCCCATCCACTGGTTCCATGTCCAGAGGACAGGGACGGGGGAGGAGAAGGGAGGGAATTAGAAATAGGGTGCTGCTCTGTCCTTCATCATTAAAGTCCACATGTGCGAAACTTCACACAGCTTCCTATGACTGAAGGCAAGCAAGTGATCTGTGTACCAAAAGCTAAAAGGAAAAAGACACACACACACACACCTGTTCAAGGTATCTGAAAGCTAAACTGGGGTTATGTTCAAAAGAATCCAGCTGTGAGAAGCCGGCAACTATGGGCCCAAAGAATCCTTTGCGATTCAGAGAAGGAGCCGCCGGTCCGGTGCCCAAATGCGCTGAGCGGCCAGCGGCTCGTCCAAGGCCCTCCAGCTGCAGCGTCCAGCAGGACAGCTGTGGAGTCTGCACAGGTTCCCACCTGCGCAGTGTTTCTCCAAAATGAGGCTCACATAGGAGGTGGCTCTGACTGCCGACACTGTCCACCGGGTGGTTGTAGAGTGTTCCGGGGTCTCGAAGACCCTCTGCCCACCCCAAGGCAGCTGAAGGAAGAAAGCAAACCAGACGCAGGTGCACTCCGGCGGCCGCTGGCCAGCCCTCCACTCCAGCCCCCCGAGCCCAGCTGGACAGGTGGGAGAGCGTGGCTCGGCCCCGGAGGGCTCAGGCCGCGTGTCCCTAGGAAGGGCACCCCTACCGCTGCTGCCCGACGTTTCAGAATCCCACCGAGCGGCCCGTCCTGCTGAGTGAGCTACTCCCGAGTCAGGGGAGCAGAGCACAGCCCAGGCCTAACACAGCGGCTCCAGGCGAGGCACGGCTCCTCCCCCGCGGAACGGGCGGTGGGTGCCAATTCAGAATGGTGGGTAGACGCACCAAAGCCCAGCAGCTAACGGTGTTTCGAGCAGGAAGGCCCCCCTCCCTCTCACCTCTGCCTCTGCACAATGACCCCTGAAGATCTAGCCAGGAATATTGGGGACCTGTACCCCCCCTTTACCCCCGACCCTGTCACTGTCGTTAAGAAACAGGCCACTAACTTACGCGGCGTCCAGCATGGCCCCCAGACCCGACAGCACGCACCCGAGGGCAGGGGCTGCTCCCCACGCAGTTCCAAAGCTCGAACTTAGAGGCACAAGCGCCAGTCGTTGGCCCTGGATGCCTGAGACAGAACAAAGCTCCAACCTGCGAAGTCGATTCCCAGTCAAACCAGCTGACAGAGCAGCGATGGGAGGTGCCACACATTGCCTCCTGGGAATATCCTGGCATCCAGTCTTGAGGTCCCGAATGGCCCCAGAAACCATGCATTGCTGAGTGGGTTCTCCTACACACAATACAATGGCCATACCCCCCCGCACCCCCCACACACATACACATGCATAGGCACACACACACACAGTGGGTTCTCCTAGCTACAACAGCCATCACATACATACATACACACACACACACACACACACACACACACAGAGGAATGAGTGGCCAAAAAGCAGCCACAGGTCAATCCAGTCACCTGCAGCTCCTGGAGCACAGGGACCAATCGGGACTCAGCTTTATTCCCAGAGCCTGGCGGGGTTTGGCACCCAAGGGCTCACTCAAACATGAACCTCAGCAGCCCTCTTTTCTTCAGAATTTTACAAATGCAGTTTGCCCTCCTCGTTCTCAGCATCAGCCTTGATTCCATCCTAAAGTATGTAACGACGTGGGCAGACCCAGCTGGCTGTGCGCCCTATCTCAGTGCCTGAATGGTAGCGGGACATGTGACTGCATTTCCCAAGCTCCCTTGCAGCTTGCTGTGCCCGTGCTAAGTTCTGGCGAATTAGAGAAGCAGGCGTGTGAAGTGGCAGCTTCTGGAATTTGCTTAAAGATCAAGGGTACCCTCTTAATTCTCCTTCCTGTTGGCTGGAATGAAGACTTGATGGCCGGAGCTCAAGCAGCCACTTCGCGGCATCAGTGTCACACTAACGAAGGGCAGGGAAGCAGCAAGATGAAGGAGCCTCAGATTCAAATGACCATAGAACTGAGAGAGGAATGAAGAATGAGACATTATCTTGTTTACACCCTGTTATTGGAGGGTTTCTGTCCCTTTGGAGGGACATGATCCTGAAACTGATGTGGACACCCACATAACCAGTACACCTCGCTGTAAACGTTCCCCTGGAAGCTTGGGGTAATCGTCATGTCCTGGGCCAGGAGGCTCCTTATTCATCGCAGGGGCCACGGCCATCTCAGCAGCCAAGTCACTTCCAGGTGAGTTTTAAAGGTGGGGATGAGGAGCCGTCCCCTGGACCAATGGCCCCAGACCACTGGGCACCGCTCTGCCACCTGCCAGGCCGTATGTATCCACCAGGACATGTCAGAACAGAGGAACTTTCTCCCGCCTTCCAGCCCCTTGTGCTGCAGGCCAAGCTCTCCACAGAGGAAACCCAGTTATTACAAAAAGAACTCGGTGAAAACTTCCCCCAACAGAAGCTCTTCCGCCCCGATCCCTGTGCTGGTGCCAAGTTAGGGGGTCCAGCCCAGAAAACGCAGTGAGCAGACTTCACGAGAAAAATGCTGGTCGATCAGTCAGCGACATACGCACGTTCCCAGGACTTTCCCGTGAACTGCCAATCTCATCGAGCTCTGGTCCCAGGAGCAGACGCTCACTTCCGGTTCCTACAATTACACGTTCGGCTCTGTCCCTTCGGTCACGAAGTTCACCGGGTCAGTCAGCTGAAGGGCAGTGAGCAGCTGACACACAGAGCGAGCACGTACCGCGGACGTTACATGCACCCGTATTTAATCTTCAATCCAACTCCGGGAGGCGGTTCTGATGATGCCCACTTTATGTCCACGGGGCAGACAGGTAGACGGCGTGACCTGCCCACCACCACTCAGCCGGAAAGACGCTGAGCCGGCTGCAAAGGCGTCACATGCTCTGAACCACACACC